TCTCTCTCTCTCTCTCTCTCTCTCTCTCTTTCCATCTCGTTCTCTCTTTCTCTCTCGTGCCGCGGTGACTCGGTTCTCCAGGTAGTTCGTCCTACGATTGGCGGGCGTGGACGCAGGTGCGCGTGGTGGGGGAGGCGTGGTACCCACCTCCCATTGGCTACCGGGTCCTACCCACACCGGAAGTGGGGCGACGGTGGTGGAAAGAGGGTAGAAACAAGGGGGGCAGAAGCTAAAGGCAGTTCCTCCGCTCGCGCTCAGGCCGAGGGGGCAAAAACAATATCGCATCTCGCGCGCAACGCCGCAAAAACCTGCCAGGTGGCATTTCGCCTTACCTTGAGGGTTACTACCTCTTGCACGCGAACACACACGAGCGTCTACGTGCACCTATGTTATACCTGTCCACCCTGCGAAACCCGCGTCGCCGCCATACTACTTAGCTATCGGCGAGGGGATGCACCCGCACTCCCTTTAACTTCTCAGAGGGAATCAAATCCAAATGAAAGTATTTCGTATTCTCCTCCCGATGATTCAACGAAGTAATTCGTCGCGATATCGAAATTTTTACATTTGAGTAAAAGCTATGAAAAAGGCTATGAAAATATTTTTGCTATGAAAAAAGTTATGAAAATATTTTATACTAATTCTATTTAATCAATATATTTAATGTTAAAAGATATAATTTTGTTGTGTAAAAAAATATAATATCTTATTAGATATTTATATTGAAATTTTGGTAGATTTTTAATAATTTCATCGTGTATTCAGTATATTCAGTAAATGAAAGACATTTTAAAATTATTGTGTCTAATGTTATGCTATTTATTGTAACATAGATTATACGGTTATAATTATTTAAAATATCTTTATTTTAATTCTTTAAAATTTAAAATTTATCTTAATTCTTAAATTTATTTTTTCAATACAATATTAAGAATCATTGATGCTGTTGTTTTATATTTATTACACTTAAAATTGATGATACTGATTTGTATTTAAATTCCATTAGTAGAATTAATGTC